AGAACTGGCTTGACCACAGGCCACATCGTGATACACAAAAAAAGGGATACCAAACAGACAAGACAAGTCAAACAGAAGGGATCTAAACCCAGTTTTGGGGGATTAAAAAGATCACACGCACAGCCGTTGTGATGCTGCTTCACTTGGTGAATGATTTGTTTTAAAAGCAGGTCACGAAAATGGATATAAATGAACAGTTAACCTAACTCAAATATGCAAGAAACCTAATGTTTGACAAGCTTAATTCCACGGCAAACTAGGTTGAAGACAATTATAATTGTCAAGCCAGCCCTTTGGACTCAATTAATTATGTCGACGAAGGCAGTGATGTAATCTTTTGAGTTAAACAGAACCATCTTTGGGGAATTATAGCAAAAGATCATGGTTATCTTCCCAACCAACTGAAGGACATATTCTCTTTAATTCAAAACATATTCAACTCCTCTACTGTTGATATTGTTATGTGCCGTCAAGTGGCCCTGACTTAGGGTGGCCCCATGAATGAGCAATCTCCAAAATGTCCTTGTCCTCAACAGCTCTTCTAAACTCAAGGTTTGTGGCTTCCTTAAGTCAATCTGTCTCCTATTTGGCCACCCTCTTTTCCTGCTGCCTCCAACTTTTCCTAGCACGATTGTCTATTCCAGAGAATCCTGCCTTCTCAGGATGTGCCCAAAGGAAGTCAGCCTCAGTTTTAACATTTTTTTTACTTCCAGAGATAGATCGTTCAGAATTGATTCGATGCAGCACCCACTGGTTTGTCTTTCTGGCAGTCCAAGGTTCAGAAGCCAGGATATGCCTGTACCAGAACAGAATAATGAGGTTATTTTTTTTTTGTGAGTCCACAATTCTCCCTCCGTGCTCCAGCACTCTTAAGCGCTGTAGAACCTGTGATGCCAGATTTGCAAAAACACCTGGAACAAACTCCTGGCCTGGTTTGAAGTCGCTCCAACATGAGATGGATCCTGCCGATTCCGGATAGATTGGAGGTCTTTGGAGGTAACATTAAGTCACCTTTCAGTGGAGGCTTTCTGCCATCTGATGCAGGGCAGTTTTACTGGACAGAAATGGGCCATCTAAGTGGTTTTCAGGATCACAAACATGAGAACTAGATGTTTACTAAATCTTGCCTCTCTGCACTCAGCAATATAATCACATCCTGCCAGTCTGCGTGGTTTCCACATTTAAATCAGCATCTCTGCTTTTACCTACTAACGGCATTCACCTTCCGTTCCCAAATTTCTACGCCGAATTCCTCCAGAAGGAACGGCAATTTTTTTTGTCTTTTAAAAATTGCCTCCCCCCCATTACAATGAATTAATTGATTTTTTAAAAAATCTGAACGCAGACTCATACACAGGCAGCAGAACCACGTCAAAAGAAACCCATTTGCTCTGATTTCAGTTGTACGTGAATTAAAAAAAAATTAAAGAACCAGGTTTCCAATTGGTAAACTTTGATCCCAAAAAGTCATGTCCGGAGACGTTTAGTAAAGCTGTCCCATGATTAAAATAGTGCATCTTTTCAGTTCCACGTCTGGCACCACTGGATAGCCTTGGGTTTTACATGGGAAAAATAATCACAACTTTTAGCCCATTAACAAACAAACAAAAAAACCCTTACAAATAAAAATGCTGCAGGGAGAGGGAGGCCGAGGGAGAAACTGAGAGCAAGCATTATGCTCACATCAGAGTCTAGGTAAGGGCATCTTGGAAATGATACAGCTGAACGAGTTTTCTCTCCCTGCTTTCAGCTTTCCATCCGGAAGGCTAGACTGTGGTTTCTCCCAAGGCCTTGGAAAGGAACAGTTCCAACGCCCTAAAAAAACATACGTATGTCAGTCTCTCGGGGAGAAGGACAACATAAAACTCTCTCGTGATATTGAGTGTTAAGGAGCCATGCCGTGTCGTGAAATTCACCGGTGACCCTGAGCTTCTCTCTCAGTGTGATGTCTCATAAGACTGCTGAGAGGACCATGTGAGGAGGAGAACTCACTAGAGGAAAGGAATAAATGAAATAAACAGATAAGTAGCTCAGCGGTTTAAGTCTCTGGCTGTGGAGCCAGAGGTTGGGAGTTCAATTCCCCCCACTGTGCCTCCTTGACAGGGTTGGACCTGATGATCCATAGGATCCCCTTCTAGCTCTGCAAATCTAAGGTTATTAAAACACTTTTTGAGCGCTGTAACTGCTGTAAGGTAAAGGTTCCCCTTGACATTTAGTCCAGTCGTGTCTGACTCAAGGTTGCCGTGCTCATCCATCAATGCATTCCAATGGGGAAATGCTTTTTGCTAAACAGCGATTTCAGTGGAACGGATTATCATCGTCTAGCGAGGCACCACTGTACATATCACCTCCCCCTCCAGTGATGTTGCTCACTTCCCAATAGTTCTTTTTATGGCAAGCCCCACTCTATTTTTCTTAACAAAGCCCTTTGGTTTCTTTTAGCCTCTTGGCCCGCGTTTTTTAACATCTGAATTCCTGATCCCAGAGATTGGTTTGCCAATATCACAGGAAGTACATCCTGCCAGCCTTGCAATGGAAATATCCATTCATTCATTATTGTCTGCTAATTGTTCTCCTGAGTTCAAGGCCAGAAATAGAGACACAAAGGAAGGAGGGGGGTAAACCTCTGATTAAGCCTTAAGAAAGGACGAGTGGCCGAGACCATATCCTGCTTCAAGGCCTTTTCCAAATGTATGCAGATGCTGATTGTTTTACCGGCTCCTTCTGACCTGGTTGGGGGGGACAGGAATAGCAGACTGCAGGCTCAAAAGATCAGGGACTTTTAAGATTAGCAGGGATCTCTCTGGCCCTGCTCAAAAATCATGACTACAGAAGAACTATACCACTGAAGAAACCAAAATGAAGAAGCTGGGGGGGGGGGAGGAATTGGGAGGCTTTGTGTATCTTGGTTCAATCATCCATCCAAGAAATCAGAAGACTGAGAATCAGGAGGGCAGCAAGGAAGTACTTAGAAAAGATGGTTCAAATCTAAGGATGCGTCACTGGAGACCTAAGATCATCCCAAGAAAGCGGACAGGGGAGAAAAAAATTGATTCAGTGGAAATGTGGTGCTGGAGGAGAACTTTGTGTATAACCTGGGTCTGCTAGAAAGATGAACAAGTGGGTCCCAGATCAAATCAAGCCCAAACTATTTCTGGAGACAAAAATGTTGAAGCTGAGGCTGTCCTACTTTGGGCTCATCATGAGAAGGCAAGATTCTCTGGAAAAAACAAGGATGCTGGGAAAGGTGGAAGGCAGCAGGGAAAGAGGAAGGGCAAATACGAGATGGATTGTCTCCTTAAAGGAAGCCACAGGCTTAAGTTTACAAAAACTCAGCAACGCTGTTGAGCAGAGGATGTTTTGGAGATTACTCATTCATAGGGTCAACTAAATTGGAGGTGACTTCATGGCACCTAATGACAACGACATATTGTTGTATTACACTGTCTTCTACTCATTCCCTCCACTCATTGGCTCTTCTTGCATCCATCAGAATTTGGAAATGTCCGGTTTTTGAATCCAAGTTCTAGAATCCTATAGGGTGGCTGGCAGATTCTGAGCGCTGTAGTTGGAGGAATTAAGTTTTCTAAGGTCTAGTAAAGAGTGGGTGACTTTCCCCCCATCAGACACAGCATTGTTGCAATGATCATGCAACACACTGTAACCAGACAAAGTTGTTTGTTTTGGCTTGGTCTGAAACAAGTACAGCGGTGCCTCGCTTAATGACGTTAATTTGTTCCAGCGAAATCGCTGTAGAGCGAAAACATCGTAAAGCGAAAATAAAAAACCCACTGAAACGCATTAAAACCCGTTTAATGCATTCCAATGGGCTAAAAACTCACTGTCCAGCAAAGATCCTTCATACAGCGGCCATTTTTTGTGCCTGTATAGCGAAGAATCCATCCCTAAGCACAGCAGAGAGCCATTTTGAGCACCCAGCGGCCATTTTGAAAACCCAATGATCAGCTGTTTTGATTGTTGTAATGCGAAGAATCGGTTCCCGAAGCAGGAACCGATCTTCACAAAGGGGCTAAAAACTCACTGTCCAGCAAAGATCCTTCATACAGCGGCCATTTTTTGTGCCTGTATAGCGAAGAATCCATCCCTAAGCACAGCGGAGAGCCATTTTGAGCACCCAGCGGCCATTTTGAAAACCCAATGATCAGCTGTTTTGATTGTTGTAATGTGAAGAATCGGTTCCCGAAGCAGGCACCGATCTTCACAAAGCAAAAAAAAACACAAACATTTAGACCATCGTTTTGCGACTGCAATTGCGATTGCAAAAGCATCGTTGTAAAGCAGATTCGTTGTAATGCGGGGCAATCCTTAAGCGGGGCATGGCTGTAGTATGGACCCATTAGCCTTTCAAAAGGCCTGCCTCTGTTAAAACAGAAACTTCTAGAACTGGCCTACGAATAACCCAGTCTCGTGGCATCGTAAGGCTGAAAGGCGAACACATTTCTTTTGGTGTAAGCTTTCACAGAGGGTCCGAAGGAAGTGTAGACTACAGTCCCGGAAAGCTTACATCAGATAAAACTTGCGCACCTTTTAGTTATCACAAGAGTCCTTGTAATTTTTTTTTCAGCAGAAGACTAAACACCCACCTTTTAAAATCTTGGTTTCCTGATATGGAATAATACAGCTACCTACATTTTTTTTGGCATTTCCTTGGTAGCCCTGCTATGAGGACTGTCGAGAGGAACCCTTAAGCCACCATGTTTACTACAAATCTCCTGGAAGGGGCTAACTTCTGTGAAGGAAGGTTTTCTCCCTTACTTGTCACGACAGGGGAAGTCCTGCTTTAGACCTCTTTTGTTCTTGAGGCAAGTGGGGGATTCCAACCCACAGCCTTGGTAAAGCTAAAAGCGTGAGAAATGACCCAGTGTGTCCTGCTAGCTCTGTAGCAGGCAAGCTATCTCTAGAGAGGTGGAATTATTCCTACGACATCGATTATAGGAAAAGTTGTCCTAACCATGAAGCAATCAGATATGGTAAAAAAATTATGAGAAAGTGACATCTTTTATTATTTCATAGCTTCAAAAGCAAAACAGACGTATGGGCCATGTTACTCAAGTTAGTAGGAGGATGGATTTTCAGAAATGAGGAAGAACATCGGCTTACAGATAGATACCTACAGGTGTAGGGACACACACATACGTTCCTACGTGGTTCTCATGATTCATGGTTTTCGTTCCTTCTTTCAGACGAAAGAAAGAAGGTAATCACGGAGTCCTCTGAAGTCTAATTCACAACCGACAAAGCCCCCAGAATCAAAAATTGGATTCAGAGGTCAGATCGGCTCCGTTTGTGATCGCCTGGTGGCTCATATCCTCCTGAGCGGGCGACAAGACAAACTTTGTTAAAGGAGAGCCCGTTTTGAGGTGGGGGGTTATGTAGAAAGACTTCTGGAACGATTCGGAGGTGAAGTAGTAGATGAAAGGGTCAAAGCAACAGTTGAGGGTAGCAATGCACAACGTGATTGGGTAGAGTGTCTTGGCGAACCTCTCTAAAGAGCAGCTGGCGATGGCTTGGGAGCGTACAAGGGCGTACAGGAAGAGTATGGAGTTGTACGGCACAAAGCACACCATGAAGATGGCCACATGCACAACAATCATCTTGAGTACTTTCTCTTTGTTTGTGCCAATCTGCGAGAGGGTGGCTGGTTTCCGGAGAGTTCTCAGGACCAAGGATGAACAGGTGAGGTTGAGCATCAGGGGGATGATGAAGCCAACCACTTCAATAAATATTGTAATCTTGGACAGGTAGGTCTTCCATATGCTTTTGGAAAAGCCTTCGAAACACGTGGTGCTGTTGTTGGTGGTGTTGGTCGTGGAGAACAAAGAGGCCGAGATCCCTCCGCTGAGGACCAGAATCCACACGCCTGCACACACGATGGCCGAATTACGTCTCGTCCTAATGGTACGGGATCGGAACGGGTAGACGATGGCGAGGAAGCGGTCGACGCTGATGCAGGTGAGGAAAAGCATGCTCCCGTAGATGTTGGTCAGGAACGCTGTGCCGGAGATCCTACACAAAGGGTCTCCGAACGGCCAGTGCCGGTTGAAGTTGTAGAAGATCTTGAACGGGAGGGTGAAGACGAAAAGCAAGTCGGAGAAAGCCAGGTTGGTCATGAAAATGGTGGTCTCGTTCCGCATGTTGATGCGGAAGCAGAAGACGAACAAAGAGGCGCAGTTGGTGATCAGGCCCAAGACAAAGACCACGCTGTACACAGCGCCATAGAGGTTGTATTTGAAGGTGTCGTCTGTCACGCAGGTATGGTTGTGGCTGTGATTTCCCATTCCAGCTTCACAGCGACTTGGAAAGCCAAATCAAGCAGAAACCATGCAAGGCGAGTCAGAAAGCTCGGTTGACTCTGAACCAGTGGTAGGGATGGAATTCCTTTTGCTGCAGAGCCATGATGGGCACTTCTGTCCTGAGGAAAACAAGAACAAAATTAATTTGCTAATACGTATCTATCTATCTATCTATCTATCATCTATGTCTGTCTGTCTGTCTCTCTCTCTCTCTCTCTCTCTCTCTCTCTCTCTCTCTCTCTCTCTCTCTCTCTCTCTCTCTCTCTCTCTCTCTCTCTCTCTCTCTCTCTCTCTCTCTCTCTCTCTCTCTCTCTCTCTCTCTCTCTCTCTCTCTCTCTCTCTCTCTCTCTCTCTCTCTCTCTCTCTCTCTCTCTCTCTCTCTCTCTCTCTCTCTCTCTCTCTCTCTCTCTCTCTCTCTCTCTCTCTCTCTCTCTCTCTCTCTATCTATCTATCTATCTATCTATCAAGCAGTAAAGCACATTTTAAAACCCCACTGAGACAGCCAGACCCTAAGGTTAAAACCTGTCTGAAGAGAAAGGTCTTCAACGGTTTGTGGAAGGAAAGGAAAGATGGGGCCAGTCTGGCCTCCAGTGGGAGGGAGTTCCAGAGTCTGGGAACAATGGCAGAGAAGGCCCACTCCCATGTCTCCACCAAACACACCTGTGAAGGTGGCAGGACCATAAGAAAGACCTTTTCAGATTATCTTAACACTCAAGCAGGGCCATAAAGGGAGATGTAGCTTGGACACAAGCCATTTAGGGCTTTATAGCTATGATGAGAATCAAAAACAATACACTCTTTATGTCAGGGCTGAGAAACCATTGACTCTCCAAGAGGTTATTGGACTGCAATTATCTGTAAATACAGCAAATCATGAAGGATGAAAGGCACTGTCATTCATCAGCATGTGGAAGCTACCAGGTTCTCCGGTTCTGCTCCATAGACTGCTCTTATACACACATTACAAACTAAGTGACATTTAATTTTTTGTTGTATATGCTTCTCAGCTCCCCTGCAGCTCCCTGAGAGAGAAATGAAAGGCGGCTAAACCTCACGGAGCAGATACTGGCTGAGGCCACATTTGGCTTGCCTCGGCTTTCCTGACATCTGGGAGAAATTATTTATGATCTAGGGTTTGAGGTATCCGTTTTCAGGAATAACAGTCCATGATCTAACCCAGTGGTTAGACCATGTTTGGACCCGACCAATAGTGGCTAGGCTATATGGCTTTGAGTTAGGAATTCTGGAGAGCCAGAGGTTTACAATGACTAAGTTGGCACACCCTATTCCAGCCCAGAAGCATCTGGCTTTCTTTTTGTTAGTCATCTGAGGAATTGTTCTGCGTGACCCAAACCCCTCAGCTCCTGTGTTCCAAATACAAACGCATTTGTCTCGCTTGCTCACCATTTCCTGTTTTCATCAAGCCAAGACGGAGCCTAAAGAGTGTACATCATCGGGGGGGGGGGGGATTTTAAGGAAAGGAAAAACAATATATTTTTCTGCCTTTTGCTGCTTTACTTCCTGCGTCTCACAATCTGGGCCTTGCTAGCAACAGTTCTCCACTTCCACCACGCTTCTGTTCCAATGAAATACCACGTGGCTATCTAAACACGTGGGCCAGAAGCTGTCTAACAGGGGAAGCTGCAAGGACCTCACTAGTTGAGATGATCCTCAAGAAATCAGCTCCTCTCGTAAAAACCCTGAAAGTCATAAGCAGAAATCAAAAGACCCTGGAGGGGTTCAAGAATTAATAATAACAGTAATAATTAAATCAATTTCGACTCATGTGATCCTTTTCAGAGTTTTCCAGATAGAGAGTACTCAGAAGTGCATTACCCTTCCCTTCCTCTAGGGGCAACCTTGGGACTGTGCAGCTGGCCCAAGGCCACCCAGGCTGGCTCTTCTCCCTGGAGGCACAAGTGGGGAACCGAACTCCCAACCAGATACCTTAGTGACTGAGCTATCACAGCACACGAAATGCATGCTCTGTCATCAAGCTGCTGTCTTCTCCCATAACAGAAGGATGAAGCGACTTCTTTCGCAGGACAGGATTCTGAAATCTTTTCCTGTCTTGGAAAGTCAGGCCATCTGTAAGACAGGCCTCCCCGCCCCCCCGCCGCCAATTGCAAAACAATTGTAAACTAGAACGCTTTACAATTTCCTGTGTGATTAGATGAAAACAGATCAAGAGGTGTACTGAGCAGCATCCGGGTAAAACCTGCTCCAGGTTACTTCTGTATCCAGAAAGGACGAGAGGATTTCTCTTTGCACCTCCAAGTGAATAAACCATCCAGAATGTAATCATTGAAAAATGGGTTCAACTCTACCTGCGTAGTCCTTTTCTGCTTGGAAAGGTTACTTTTTTTGGACTACAGAATTTCCCAAGGAGGCTCTAGGAACTGTCATTACAGTTCCAAACTTTGATTTCACTCTTAGGTTTTGCATTATCTCATTATCTCAATTTCTGGCTGTGACTATACCATGTAATGGAACTTAAGATCTCTCCCTCTCTCTCATACGTGTACACACACACACACACACACACACACAGAGAGAGAGAGAGAGAGAGAGAGAGATCTTAAGTTCCATTGCATGGTACAATCACCGTAGGACAGGCTGCAACAACTCAGGCTGAGCACATATTAAACATCTCAAAGGAGGTAGATCCGAACTCTGGACCTAACAAGCTCTAAACATTATATTGCAGGTGCTGGAGGGGGCATCCATCAGGTCCGACCCTTGTCAGAGGAGACCATAAGCAAATACAGTATGGCCTCGCAAGACAATTTTTATTCGTTCTGCGAAAATCGTCAAGCAATCGTCTTGTTGTTTTTTCGTCCCACGAGGCAATTGTCTAGCAAGGCACCACCGTAGACAGGCAAAGGGGTCTCAGCTGGCATAGGGCAGCGTCTTCAATTTTGATCACTGGGATAGATCGACACCCCCCCCCCATGGATCAAAAAAGAGGAAAGCTAGAGACTCAAGAACTCAGTTGGAGGAAAAGTCCTGTGGCTGCCCCTGGGGCAGAGGAGGGAGTCTAGCAAGGCACCACCGTAGACAGGCAAAGGGGTCTCAGCTGGCATAGGGCATCGTCTTCAATTTTGATCACTGGGATAATCGGCCCCCCTCCCATGGATCAAAAAAGAGGAAAGCCAGAGACTCAAGATCTCGGTTGCAGGAAAAGTCTTGTGGCTGCCCCTGGGGCAGAGGGAGGGGGGAGGCGAGTTACAGGGAGACTTAAGTATGTGAAAGAGAAACATCTGCAATGTGAAAAAGAACAGGCATTCCAACAGCTGGTCTCCTCTTGTAAGACATGATCAGACATCTTGATCAGATCGGCCTGCAAAGCAGCCCGAGGAGCTTTTGCTGAAGGCCTTTTTTTTCTTCTGCACACGAACGAGCTTTAAAGTCCAGGAGGAAGAGGGCGGATCTCGGGAGAAAACCCAGCCTGCACAACCTGGAATGCTTTGTGTCCATTTCCAAGAGATCAGGAGAAAAAGAAATCAATCTCTCCTTTTTTTCCAGCGGTGGGAGGTGTCTCGACAAGTTTGGGCTCTGTCTTTTCAAACTCCGCATATTCCTTTCGTCCTTCTTTTCTGTTTCTCCATGGAGGTATATGGTGTGCACTGCACCCAGGCCAAAGATTTGTCCCAGAACTTTGAATAAAAATGCTTCAGGCAGAGTGAACACATTTTGGGGCATTTACTTTTCTTTTTTTTGTAAGGGGAAAGTAACAATAAATACATTCAAAACTAAAGATACAAGTGGAAATGTGTCTACTGTAATAGTGTGATTAATGCATTTTCTATTTGCTTATAGGTTGCTTTTCAAGAGACATTTGGGGGTGAATAATTTTCAAGATATATCTCATTCTCTTAACGTTCTCCTCTCCAAAGGAACTGAAAGTAACCAGCAATGCAATTTATGCTGACTGAACTAAACGGATTACTTTCGAAAAGAACTTTCCCAAACTCTGCGTATAATAAGATTGTTGCAGACCTTCTGCCTTTATTTATTTCTTTTTTGCACTTCTGCTTTTCCTCTCCTATTCTATGTTTTGTTGGCGGTGTTACAAAAATGACCAAGTGTAGGTTTTCTAATAGCCTGAATGCTGAACTAGGTCTGGAGAGGCCCGAGTTCAAATTCCAGCTCAATCAGGTGGCTGACACTGCCTCTCTCACCTTGAGTCAATGTCTCCCTCTTTCAATTTGCCCTACCGCGTTGGCTTTAGGTGCAGATAAAAATAATCAGCAGGAACAAATTATCTTCAGACTCTCGGAGGAAAGCTGGGTTATAAGTACCACCAAGGAACAAATGAATATAAATATGCCCATTTTCCCCTCCTCCATTTCTCAGTGTTGCTGTTTATTTTCAGTTTTAAGTCCCAAGGCCATATACGTTTGTCTTCTAGAACAGCGGTCCCCAAACTTTTTGGGACCGCAGACCAGCTGAGCCTCTGAGGAAGGTGCCCCCCGCTTGCTTGCACGTGCGCACAATCTTGGGTGCATGTGTGAAGCGGTAGGGGAACACGTGTGTGCCTGCGCTGGCGTGAGTGCTCCCCAACCCCTTTGCACATGCGCAAGAGAGCCTGCACGCTCTTGCACCCACCCCTTCGTGCGGATGCTCAGACACATGTGTGAAGGGGTGGGTGGCGCTCATGCTGGCACTGCCACGTGCATGCATGCACAAAGCAGCTGTGGGGAGGGAAGTGTGTGCAGGGGGCGGGCAGAGGTCTGTCTCCGTGGCCTGGTCTGGCTCAGGCCACGGACCAGCACTGAGCTGCAGACCGGGGGTTGATGAGGGGACTCATTCATTCATTCATTCATTCATTCATTCATTCATTCATTCATTCATTCATTTCTGGTGTTTGTTGTCAGCTGATGGTCGCTTTTCTTTTAATTTGACCATTCTGATTGGGATGTCTTTTTCCCCCTTTTTTTGTTTGCTTGCCCCCACTGTATGATGCATACTCTATCTGTGCTGTAACTCCTGTCTTCTGAAGATGCCGGCAACAGAGGCTGGCAAAAGGTTAGGAACGAAAACCTCCAGAACACGGCCAAACAGCCCGAAAAACCTACATCAGCCATTGGATCCCGGCTGTGAAAGCGTCCGAGAATAC